CACCCCAAAAGCTTCTCAAGTGACTGTGTCCTGTGGCGAGACATTGTTCTGAAATTGCTGTAGATGCACGGAATGTGGCTTTAGCAATTGTTTGATAGGTGTAAACTCGATTACAGTATAGTTTCGGGGTGATGCCGTAGCATGACGTTACATTGTAGTGAACAGTCTGTATTCTTTAATCACTGTCTCAGAAAGAGTACGGGGTAGCTTTATTTATTTTGACTTCTCAAGTGTCAAGGCTGAATCATAATTTCCAGCTTGGATGCAATTTCTTCAGTGCAACGGAACAACCACTATATATCTACGATGTTCCCGGTACTGAAATTTACAACTTGGAAAGACGTGTAATTAACGATAGTTGCCCTCTATCAGAGAGCCTGTTCCCAGCATAAGGATAGCTCCCTCATTCTACTGAGGGGTTCCTTGCTTCTTCTACTATCGTATTGCTGAATAAACTCCTTCTGCTTCTTTGTGCATTTGTTCATTTGTTGTGTCCAAAAACTACTCCACGGCGAAGAAAAGAGGGATCGACTCTGATCAAATGTCGGAGTGAACAAAAGTAATAGAAGTCCTGAGCAAGCATTCAGTGAGGCTGAGCATCAACACTGCATGAGATGGTTTGGGAAATTTTGAAGATTTGCTTGAAACAGTTGCACTCCTGAGACNGGGGTAACAAACCTTTCTGGCCATCACATAGTAAAACATCACTGCCCGGAAAACTTGACCTGAAAGAGGTGATTCTCTGTATGACTGTTCCGACCTGGCTTACAATTCGAAGTCTAGAGTCATCACGGAAAAAATTGGGGGAGATTCTTGCAAACAGCTCGGGACGAGCCACAAAAAGTTACGCCGGGCATTTGTAAGCTTTCAAGCTCGATGAACGAAGCGCGAAGGGCAAGAATTCCCCATATTTGATAAAAACGCTGGGACTTGGTTAGTGAATAGGTAGTGCGAAGATTATCAACAAAGGGTTTCTAGTGTGAAGACATGGAAAAGTGTTGGGGTCTATTGTGGTCCGAAGGCATGTTCACCTGATCAAAGCTAAGAGAATATGCAAGAGAAATGGACTTAGAAATACCGAGTTTTTCGAAATATCGTTTGCACAGAATGTGAGACGTCCAATATGCCATGGCTACAAACTTATCCTGACTGCTAAGCTTCGAAATCCAATTTGTGGTCTTCTCTGGAAAGCAGTAAGATTGCTCTCGTTGTACCTCGATGCTAATCCACGGGGAAAAGTATATTTAGCAGCTTCGATTGACATCCAGCCACATTGCAAATACTTCGAGAGTATACAAGTAAGCTTTTTTCTCCAAGAACTCCCAGAAGTTTAGGCAGAAGGCTGGAAACCTTTGAATCCCAAAGGTTAGCTATGCACTCCCCTTTTTACTTGAATTCTGCGTCGGAAGAAGGAAGCGATTTGGCTGAGCATATTAGTAGAGCACTCTTTATGTAGAGAACAGCACAAAGTGTTAGGCAGTCTGCCACAAACGTGTTCAAGTGATTAGTGGTGGGGAGAAGCTGCAAAGTGCAATTTACCTGAATATGCTTACGCGAATTTCTCTGAATTGCAAAATAGAATCACCAGATAGGTAAAGGAACTTAAACGAGGATAGTGTCATAGTAATTACTCGTCACTTTTTTTCCTAGCCTAGAGGAATCGTACTTACTCAAAAATGCTGTCTAACCAGAGGGATTACCTATTTTCGACACAACTGACTTGAAGAGCAGGACAAAGAAGGCATGTGTTTCTATTCGTTCTACTCAACGAGCTGAATGATAGTATAGCCAACAGTTCCCATAAGAAGGAGAGGCAGCAGAAGCTCAGCATGAGGAGTTATCATTATTCGTTACCAAACTCAATAATTATATTCGTTGTACTGATCGATCTTGGCGCTCATCAACACGCAACAGTAAACTCTCTGTTTGTGTAATTTGTCAAAATTGCTTTTCATTTTCAAACCATACTTTCACCGAGATCCATACATGCTTTCAGTCTAGGCAGTCCCAAATTTCGGGCAAACCATCTGCGCATGTAGAAAAGTAGTAGAGATAAAAAGTCAGGTTCTCGCTTGGCCGCCAACTGCAGTTTCCCCAAAATCTTTTTGGGACTCGAGTGGCTGACATTCAAGAGAGAATTGATTCAAAATGAGTTAACATGAGAGAATAATTTTAAAGCAACAAGAGAGAGATTCCGAGGAATGTTTTATGATTTCTAAGGAAGTAATTGTCTGACTGCATACAAGTACAGGCCACACTTGTAAAAGCCTGATTGAATCGAAACAGTGGGACCAACTCGTGGCAGCAGTTCTACAGTAGTGTGCTATTCTATCGATAGCTGAAGTTGCAGTTCAGCTCGTGGTTATAGTCGTCGCGCGATCGGCGCTACCTTTTAGGTTCACGATAGCTGTGCCTGCAACGTAATTAGGTTTGGCTGATGACCAATGTAGTTTACGGTACAAATGCGAGCGTTTTTTACGACGCATAAAGTTACCGACAAAAAACATAAACTGCATGCCAGGGGTGTGGTGCGTTAGGAACGAAATGGTCGCGTCGCGGTGAAAGGGGCGTCGCGCGCGAAGGAATGTAGCAGGATGCAGCAGTAGGTAAGAAATGCAAGAACAAAAGTACTANCGGCAAATCGATTACCCAAAATCGTTCCTAACGCCCGTCTCCTTGCATGCCAGTACATGAAAAGGAACTAGGGAATAGAGACGAAAAAAGTTTGGTGGCTTTGCGAAAGGATGTTTGCGAAATCTTGGACAGTTTGGACATCAACTACCTTCGGCGCACCGTCGAATCGATGAAAAGACGAGTCGAAGCCTGTATCAAAGCACAAGGCGGGCACTTTGAAATTTTTGTTGTGACTATGTGATGTCATTGTTTGTTGTTTTAAGAAAATATTTTTCTTTCCATGGACAGTGTTTTTCCATGTTGGTAAACGAATAATGAAGTTCGAGCGTTTTTTATGGCTCACGTCATTTTTCGCCACTCTGTATTTGTTTCAGCTGTCAGTGTATGTCACGGATTGGCTGCTTTCATAGTCCGCCGGCCGGCCGGCCGGCGTGCGAGCCGAGGCAGTGCTAGGGGGGAGGAGAGAAGCAGACAGTCGGTCAGCCCCCTCGAAGGGTTGTAAACAACGAAAGACAAGTTCAAAGACCATTTGTTCAAGCCCTTGGTTATTTGGTCTTTGATCTTGTCTCTCGTTGTTTACAGCCCTTCGAAGGGACTGGCCGACTGTCTGCCTCCCTCCTCCCCCTAGCACTGCCTTCCATAGTCCGCCGTAACATTTTTCGGCCGGCCGGCGGACTATGAAAGCAGGGGGACGGTACGAACGTGCGTCCGAGGGTGCGCGCGGCAAATTGCGCGGCGAAGTTCGTGACGATTTGTACGGCTGCGGCGCCAATTTTCGGGGCAGAAACTCGAAGTAGTGTAGTTTAGTAGGGTCNTTCGCCGCGCGTATCCTCGGACGCACGTTCGTACACATACCCTGAAAGCAGCCATTTCCTCTGTAGTGCGCTGGTGGTAAACAGTAGCAACTGATGCTTAGCAACAGCAACAGCAGCTAGCACAAATTTTGCCTTATGGGATCCTTTCGAGTGTTAATGCTGAATCATAGTTTCAGTACGATTGCGTCTTTTGCGCTAGAAGACGAGTGGGATTCTGCTACAAAGACAAATTTGACGTAAATGGTTACAATTTGGATAGATACAACTGGCCGTAGCTGTCCATTGACACAGGGCGTGTTTTCAGCTTTTTAGAGCGATGTATATGTTGGAGAAAATATCTCATGTCAATCTTATTCTATACTGCAGGATTCCTTGCCTCTATTACCGTCTTGCTAAGTAGTTCGTTTGATATTTCGTACATTTTCCCATATATTGTCCTCGTTCAATGGATTATATTTACAAGGTGCTTGACGACTAGCACATCACCCGAACAAGGAACTATATACAGGTTGTCCCAAAGTAATGGACGNATATGTTGGAGAAAATATCTCATGTCAATCTTATTCTATACTGCAGGATTCCTTGCCTCTATTACCGTCTTGCTAAGTAGAGCGTTTGATATTTCGTACATTTTCCCATATATTGTCCCCGTTCACTGGATTATATTTACAAGGTGCTTGACGACTAGCACATCACCCGAACAAGGAACTATATACAGGTTGTCCCAAAGTAATGGACGCCGAATTCAGAAACTTCCAAAGAAGACATAATTTATCAAATCCACTCCATTCGTTATTCTTTAAGTTAGTTGCACAAGTAGGTTTTCTTAGAATGCAAGTGGTGCAAGACTTTGACCCTCTATCAGTGCTGACGAGGGATATTTTAAAAAGTGATTGTAGCATGTTGTACCACATAATGTAAGTAAGCGTGTTTGAGGATCCCGTTGTCATTCTCAGCTTAAAGGCTTTCAATACATGGCCAGGAATTGGTACCCATAATTCTGGAACACCCTGTATGCTTTCAAGGCTTCTTCAAAGAATGGGATAAAGTGAAAAGTGAACAATTAATGGTAAAAATAGCAACAAGGAACGAAAACAATCTGGTACCAACTCAGAGCAGTTGTCCTTTTCAACTTGCTCCGCGACACCAGTTCACCAATTCTCAGTCAGAATGGATTTTTTGATGTTTATTCGCCATATTTTATGTATACGTAATTACTTCACTACCGCATTAAAGCAAGCCCACTAAGCACTCGATGTACCCTGATTCTCGAAGAATCTCTCGATGAACAATATTTATCGGTACTACTTCATAAGAAGTATCAGCAATCACTGCAGCGTAGTATTTATACTTCATATAAATATTTATATGAAAGCAGTAGATGCCACAAATTGTACAAACATTAATAGTTTTACAGAGAAGGCAAGTGGACATGGTCGTTGTGGTGGTAAGTGTACCTCGAACTGAGGTATAGGCCTATCATCAGCCTTTATCCGTGAGCAAATCGTGGGCAGAATATGAGTGAATAACGAACAAACAAAACACATTAGATTATGTGGAGTGTGATAGCAGTATCTTCACCAGCATTACCGTAATTGTGATGGCGACTCCCAGAGCGACAATCAGATGCAAGAAGAAGAAGAACAGGCGGGCTTTTCCATGCTGAAATACGGCCGTATATGAAATAAGCAAATGTAACCTAGGGAGGGACCTTTGGGTTTTTACGAGTTATGGTACTTTGACACTGCATCTTCTATCTCCCGAATGATTTCATCTCACACAGGAATGCGTAGGTATAATAAATTCAACTAGGATCATTTTGAGTACGATTTGTTTGAAATAATTTCTATTGAAAACCAGATAATTTTGGAGAGCTTTGAATGCCACTATCCTTTTCATTCCGCTCAGATGTCAAGATACATCTTCAGAATAAAACATCAAAAAATGATAATTCGAATAATGATTAGTCACTACAATAATATAATAATTTAAAATTGAGATGCGCAAATGATGCTAGTGTATTACTTTGTTTTGCAATTGAACAAGACCTATACCTATCAATAGAAAAAGAAAAAAATTTTTTAATCGTTCTATTATTGTTAGATCAGTTCTGACCCAAACGAAGACTGATAAAGTTGCCAGGATCAAACACCGAATTCCCAGCCTTATTGAATTTTTCATAGAACAGAATGAGCATTGAGAAGCAAGAACGTTGGAAACCCTAAGAGGAAAGCATTGAAAGGTTTCCATTTTTCTAGGGACTATCAAGAATGGCGAGGAAGTATCATAATTTGTTTTCTACTAAAAGTTATTTCCTTTCTTATATCGGATCTAGGTTCAAATCACATAGGGGCAAGAAACAAATCGGGCAATGACCATGGTACTATTGAAGGGCGGGTGGTGTTGTGGCAGGTGTACACATATGGTAAGGGTATCGAATCCGAGAATGATGCCCGCTCAGGATAGCCAAGCCTTCCATACAACCAGGAGGCCACTCAAACGTTACCAGACTCATATGGGAGGGTAAAAGCCCTGACTTGAACATCGGTTGGTCACCACAAGCCATTGTACTGGCCAATCACGCAATGAAAATGCTTTAACAATTCTGAATGAAACTGAGTACGGGGCACAAAGACTACATCATTCATAGGCCCTCGAGCTCCTCAATCTTCCGCATATTTCATAAGTGGTCAGGAGAGGAGATCCAAAAGTTTGAAAAGGTCAAAGATTTAGGATATTTATACGACAACAAACTTGATTTTTCCGATTATTTCAAGAAAGTGTACAAAAAAGCATTTCGACGTACGTACCAGATATTCAAGGCTCTTACGACCAAGGACAGCAAGGTTCTCATCCGTGTATATAAGACTTATATGAGACCTCTGGTCGAGAGCGTAACCGTTTTGTTTTATCCGCATAAGAAAAGGATTCGGCTCCCATAGAAAAAGTCTAAAACGTGCGTCGCGGTGGTTTTTCATATTCCAGAATCCCTAACGTATCCATAAGGAACAAATATTTCCAGGTTCCTTCCTTACGCTCCAGGCGAACCTTTTTGGTTTGTGCATGTTGCATAGGGTTCTTACTTCCAAAGCTGTTATTGATTTTCCACGATTCTATGATCTCATTCCATCCAAAACCAGGGGTCGAGAACTCAAATTATCTTTTCATAGGCCTAGAACCATAACTAGACGGAATTTTTTTACTAATAGGGCTGGACTATCTTTTTTGCGTATCAGTAAATCTATATCCATCTGAGGCTCTAGTACTTCTTTCAAGCGGTCCGCAGCAAACCTTATACTACAAGCATAGGTGTCAAGTATCTTGTGTTTGTTAGGAGTTGTTGTCGAGTTTCGTTTACGGTTGTTTTGCATTTATATTTCAAACCTTATACTACAAGCATAGGTGTCAAGTATCTTGTGTTTGTTAGGAGTTGTTGTCGAGTTTCGTTTACGGTTGTTTTGCATTTATATTTTTCTCACGCTGTCTTATATAGCGTATGAAATAAAAAAATAAATAAATAAAATCATTGCTGATCTTGAGACCACCTGTCGTTAATACCATGCTCAAATAAAAGAAATTGTGAAAGCTAACACGGGATGTTGTTCGGAGCCGATGACGCTTTTTGTTTCGAAACAAAAAAAGGTCACCGAAAACGTTCTATGTAGCATTTCATTTACTTCTGCATACTAATTATATATATCGCCATTAGTATACGCATATGCACATATATATATATATATATATATATATATATATATATATAAGCACCCGTTGGTTCTCTAATATTTATTTTTTTGGTTTCTTTAATATTTATTTTTAAATTTTTGCCGTTGCCAAATGTAATTTATTGTGGCTGTGTTAGTGATGGGAGGGACTTGATGAAAGGAATTGCCAATACACTTCCTTGTCTCGCAATTAGATACTCCGAACTTTGAGAATGTTGGAAACAATAAATTCATAATGGTGGTTAATGGTCACGGTGCGAAATGGGGAATTTCATGGATAC